TAGCAATGTTTAGCTTAAGAAATAAGTAAAAACTAAAAATTTCAGTAATATAAGTAATTAGAGTAATTACATACAAAATGTTAATGAATAAATGAAAATAGACTATAATTCATTATAGAGGTATGTTACAAATTGATTAAACATTGATTTTAACTTACATTGTCAATTCATAAGAATTTTAAAGATTCATATGTTTTAATCTACTAAGAACGGACTATCACAAGCACCTAATCCTGTTGCTACCCCACCTTCATTAGCAGTAGCTAACTTAGTTCTCAACATGTGTCCACCTTGCTTATTAATATACACATTATTTTCATCAGCAATAATTATGCCAAATATTCCTAGCTCAGAAACTAATTCTTGAGGTTTTATAATTGCATTGTTCTCTGGTCTAACCATATAACTTCTATGAATTGGAGGATAGATTTTGTCCATAAGAACCCAAGCTACCCTGTCTTGTTTGTATTTCACAGATTCTAAAAAGTATTTTATATCTAATCCATATTTGTTATTGCAGCCTCCTTCTCGTTGAGGCTTGAGTACAAATCGATGTGGATTTGCAATCCCCATTTCTATAGCTGCATTTCCATATTCATTAAAATCTAATGAATAATGTTCTGTACGAAATAATACAATGTAATACATTGTCAACAACAAAATCAGTTACTGTTTGTATCATAAAAATGATTCACTTACCAGTGAATATTTCTTTAATTTCAGCACATAGCTTTTCATTATTTAGGAATTTATTGATTACACCAGGCTTTGCAAGAACCTGCTGAACTTTTTTTGTTCCCACTAAATGATACTGAATAGTGGGACATTTAATTGCTAAAGATCTCTCTATAAGTAATCTTACTTCCCATTCTTTTCTCGTATGATATTGTCCAGGTTCATACCCACACCTATAGTATACAACAGCTACAATAAAATTATCTACTATCAATTTCTTACTGGATCCCAATTTGGTTGCAGCAGTTAATTGTGTTAAGTTTCGACGAATTACTTTGATATTTGGATTTTGCTTTTTAATTTCAAATTCATGAAAGCATTGATCGCATATATTATATGGAACGTCTTCAATAACAAATAAAATGACTGCTCTGGAAACAATTATAATAATTTTTAATATCTTCATCTGTAAAATTCAATTAACTATGAGCCTACCGTTGATCACCATACATATTCCATGCTTCTATCATACTTGAACATATTATTTCTAATGCATCATTTTCTGGCAAATTTTCTACTTTTTCATGACAACCAAGTTCTGTCAACACATATCTATGTAATTTTGTCGAAGCAGGTCCTAACCAACCAAAACCAGAAGCAATTGTATTTATTTCGACTTGTTTCCAACTACAGTAGGGGATAGATATATTATTCATGTCTTCGGTTGGACAATTTGTATCTAACATTAAATCAGATCGTAAAATACCAAGAGATATCTTTTGTGCAGAACCTCCTTCAGCATTTATAATTTCACATATTTTAAATAACTCTCTAGTGAAACTGTCAACTTTTATTGTTTCTTCTAACGTTTCTTTTAAAAAATTAAAATCTTGTGCTACTTTATGTATAAGTAAGTTTAATTTTGGTTGAATCTGACAAGCATTTTCAAACTCTTTTCTTGGAAATGGGGATGGCATCAATATAAATGGTGCAAATTGTAGAGTATTTCTATTAAAATTTGTTTTTGACCTCATACACATTCCATGTATTAGTGCCCAATCTTTTGCTTTCTCTATTAATTCTTCTAATTCTTTTTCCGATATGCATGAATTAAGTAACAACTCCATGTTCATTTTTTTATATCTTCTTGTATTGTCTTCCTCTTTCTATTTGATAATTTTAAAGATTGATAATTTGATGATTTGACAATTTTGATAATAAAGTACTTAAATAATATATTGTCACATATTTTTATGATAAAAATATTCAAGTAATATTAATGAAGTAGTAGTATAGTATGACTGTATGTTGCCTTTAATTAATGTTATATACCAGTTTTTAGAAATTTGACCATCGTGTAGTATGTAACGTCGATATTCATGCCAGTGTTCTCCCCATTACTACCCTTACCCTGAGTTCCCTACATTGGTTTCTGTTACAATCTGGGTACACTGTCCCTGGGTCACTCTCAGGGATCCTAGACAACTGACCATTATACGACTTTCTTCCAGGAAAGTAGGAGTGAGAAAAATACTCATTCATATCTAATACATGTGTGGAAGCTTAGCATGCCATCCGTGAATCTTGGATAAAATTAATTTATTTAACTTTATAGTAAAAAAGGGAATGTGCTTTAGAGTGATGAAGGGAAGAACTTACAAATGGGATTGGATGATGCCAATGAATTCCATTGACAATCCATTGGAATTATCCAATCTCGTTCATGAGGTCTTCTCATAAACTTGGAGCAGATTCCGAGCAGAATCTCTGACACCATTGGACACACTAGACACTACTAGTCTTGAATAGAAATTTCAAGAATGGTCAGGCATCTGGAACCCCTGGTCACACTGCTCACGACGATTAAGACGGTAATGCTATATAATGGACACTTAAGAGTACTCTACTATATAAATTTATCCAAATTTTTTGTTGTATTGATCAATAATAAACATGTTTATACCATTCTAATGTTAAAGTTTTTATGTGTATATGCAAATTTTGTACTTACAGCTAGTTGTCGTACAGATTGTGTCGGGTACATATAACTTCTCCTCTAAAAGACCATGTACTAAATTTTCTAAGTCATATTCTTCTGCAGTAGCTAATGCTTTTACATTCCATACCTATAAATATATAATACTATATTATATAATAATAGAAATTATTCCACGATAACATAAACGTAGGTATTTTGAAGCAATTTGATTCTTAGAACAAACTTTTAAACAGAATTGTCCACTCCCAAGCTGTCATTGCAATATTAATGCATAATAGTATGAATGCAATAACACTGTAATTGATTTCCTATGCCCTTAAGAAAAAGGGAGCTCTTCAAATAATATAATATAATGTAAGCTAGTATAATGTATTATAATATAATTTATTGGAGACTAAGAAAGACAAAATGAAAGAAAAGAATGTGTGAAATAAGCTAATTACATATGCACAATATAAGGGAATTATTATAAAATAAAAATATCAATACTATGATTACTATTTACTAATTACTTACACCAATGTCTTCATTCTTTGGGAAAGGTCTTTTCTTAGGTCTCTTTTTTAGTTGGAGAGCACCTTTCTCTTTATTAATTTTGATGTCAGATTTACTTTCCTCATATTGAATTCTACTACTATGTAAGAAATTATTACAATTATGTTGCGAATTTAATTTTATAAGAGATGCAGGTTTCACTAATGATAGATTATACGATGTTAAAGTTGTCGTTACTTTTCTACAAGTAGTAAAATTGATGTTGCTTTTGCAGTGCAACAGAATGCATCTTTGAATTGCTGACAAATTCATCTCATTTAATATTACATTCGATAAATTTGTGTACAAGTGTTCCGTAGAAACAAATATTATATGAAAATATTTGTATGCTCAAACTATAACCATACGTTGTCTATTCTGTTAACAAAATTTAATATTTTGTTTTCAATTCTCAGTTACCGGTCATGCTGTAAATCATAGACTGTATGGTTTGTTGTTAGAAAGACATCATGCGAGAAGATACAGGAACAAGACAAGTCTTACCGCCTCATAATCTGACCAATAGTAAATCTGTTCAATAACCAATCAGAGCGGCATTCTTTCACTTATTTTCATTTCAGCAACGCGTTTGTACATATCTACATACGTATGCATTTCTATCATGAAAACTCGCCTTTACAGTAAATACGCGACAAATAGTTTGTGTATATAACGTGCGTATTACAACGTAGTCAATAAAAATCTCATGAAATGTCAAGAAAGCACTGTCATGTATTTTCGTTTTTATGCCATTCAAATTAAACTAAACATTTGATTTCAATAATAAAAAAGAATGGAACTTGCGCGAAATTTGATTGCTTGTAAATTGAAACGTTACCTTCTTAAAGTACCAGAAAAGTCTTGTTTTTATCACGTAAGACATATCAGGTGACGTAAAGTTCTTTTATATTAAATATTACTAATATGGTTATTGCAAGTAGATGATTAAATACATTGTGTGGTTATTTATAAAGAATTCTTAAAAATCATATTAATTTAACATTTCTGAATGTGTAGTTTGTAGTTTAAAGTGTAATTAATGTCTATGATTAAAGATTTTTTACATATTTGTTTTGTTCATACTGTACGTATCTATCTATATATATATAAATAATCAGGATTTATGTCAGATAATTTTGTCTTATTATTTTTAAAACGTTGTATATTCTATTAAAGGTGGAATTATAATTTCATGGAATATATTTGTAATATAGATTGGCTGAAGTGGGAAAGTTGGAGACACCAAAATTAAAAGGAAAATATGATACTGGCCAACTAATATTACATAGAGTGTTTGGTTATCGTGGTGTAATATTATTTCCATGGGTAGCAAAGGTTTACGATAGAGATATTCCAAATAAAAGAGACGAGTAATTTTAGTATATTGATTTACATTAAAATAATGATAATTTATTATTATAGGTATATAGTATAATTCTAATTCAAATAATATATGATTTTAGAAGTGCAGGTGGTAATTTTAACAGTGTAGAGAAAGAAGTAAAAGGTAGAACTCATACATTTTATCAAGTATTAATTGATCAGAGAGATTGTCCATACATAGTAAGTATAATAAATTAAAATATATTTGTATGACATAAATTTATAAATAATAAATTTTATAAATTTATGATCCGTCTATTGCAAATGGTTCAATATATAAATGTTATTTACACATATATAGCGTGCTCAAACAGAAGCAGTAACATTTTTGGGAAACCAGGAAAGTAGTCGTAGTTTATATGCAATACCAGGGTTGGACTATGTAGCTCACGAAGATGTCTTACCTTATACAACAAATGAGAAAACAGCATTACAACATGAACTTTTTGATAAATTCTTAATATATAAACCAGACCAAGATCCATGTTTTGTTGCTCAAGAAACTCTTAAGGCGTGGCAGAAAAAGAATCATCCATGGCTGGAATTATCAGATGTACATAAGGAGACTACCGAAAATATTCGTGTTACTGTTATACCATTTTATATGGGTTGTAGAGGCAGTCAAACTGCAGCTATACATTGGGTACGTATTATGACACACAGTATGTCAGATGAGAAAAGACTCAGACTCAAGTTAATATGAAGCTTGTTCATTGACAACATAAAATATATATTACATAGTGGCGATATTGTATCCGCTTGGAGAACTTGGGTGAATTAAGTGTACAGTTACGTGAAAGACACTGGAGAATATTTAGTCTTTCTGGAACATTAGAAACTGTTAGAGGAAGAGGTGTAGTTGGACAAGAACCTATTTTGTCAAAACTTTTACCTGCTTTTCAATATAGTAGTCATGTGAGTTTACAAGCTGCAAGTGGACATATGTGGTATGTATTTTCTGACGATTTGATATATTCATATCTAATTAAAAAATATTAGATTTAGGCTAAAACTCTATCTTTTTAGGGGTACATTCAGAATGGAAAGAGAAGATGGGTATGCATTTGATTGTAGGATCCCACCATTTTCTTTGGAATCAAAAGCAGAAGAACCACCTTCTCCAAATACAAGTACATGATTAAATTTTTCAGCATTAAATGAAAAATAATTATAATTAAATTCGTCTGCTTTATTGAAAATTCAATATGTATTAAAACTAAATTAATTTACGTAGTAATATTTATGATACTGACTGTTATGATGAATTTAAAAAATGTTATAAATAGGGTCGATTATTATAAGTGCTTAAATAAAATATATAAACACAATTGCTTTTTGTAATTAGTATTAATCAAATAAATATTGCAAATACTTGTCAATACTTAACGAAATTGGGTCAGTACTTTTATTCGCAGGATAGTAAAAAAGATGGATTGGTTGCATTCGAGAATAAACTGCAATGGCACATGGCAGGAGAATTGGTACAAACAGAGATCGTATTTTTCGTCTATCATCTTTTTCTATTTTTACTTAAAAAAGAGCAGTACAAATGTGTAACCTGTCCTAATTTCCAAAATCACCCTTATAGAAGGCTGTGGACACTGTTACCAGGAAATCGACGGCGAACCATGAGACCACGTGGGGCTCCCACAATGTGCTCAGATTGTGAGGAAAACCGGCGCAGGTGATTCGGGGTGAGAATAGTAGTGGGGATAGCAGTGGCATGAAAGTCCATGTTACATGCTATACGACAATCAACACCATCTGACGCGACGTATCATGTCTGAATCGTGAGACTGCTCTGAAATGTGCTATAGTAGAGATCTCACAAACAGACCTCCCAGCATCCTGACCGTTCATGGAATTTCCATTCAAGGCCAGTATGTCCAATAGTATTAGGGATTCTGCTCAAAATCTGTTCCAAGTGGCGGAGAGGAGACCTCACAAATGGGATTGGATGAGCCAATGAATCCATTGGCAATCCCTTAGAATCGTCCAATCCTATTTGTGAGGTCTCCTGTCCGCCACTTGGAGCAAATTTCGAACAGAATCCCTGACACCATTGGACATACTAGGCACCAATGGACACCACTGGTCTTGGATAGAAATTCCAAGAACGATCAAACGTCTGGGACCTCTGCTCCCCTCTTGTCCTAACGCTCCAACCATATAGAACCAGTAGAAACTGCACTGTGTATTGAATCCATTGAACCCATTACTGTCGAAGTGAGAAGAATTTGTGCAACACTATGTGTGAGTTACCCTTTTACTTGCGTTTATATTTTTAGTTTTTGTTACTCTGTTTTACATGTGTATGTTTATACCATTATATATGTACTAATCTATAAGTATGGAAATATAATTTTGTTGATATTGTGATGAAAGTAGAATCCAGTCAGACATTTTGTTTAGCCACTCCCCGGTTTTATCAGCCATTTTGACATGTATACTTTCTATTTTCGCGCTATTTAATAGCAAAATTAATGTTGTTGACAAACAATATTATTATTATTATATAATTAGTTTCTTTAGGTTCTAATATAATATCCTTAAAGCTCGGTATAATTTCATACAATCATAACTACATATTGTTTTTTAAATTTTAATACCATATTAATTTTAATTTGTAATAATTATATAATATTAAAATTTTGTATTATTTCATTGTAATTTTGTATCCAGTTTAATACTATGCAGCGTGATCGCGTTTAGATCATTGTTTAGATTCGTGTTTAATGGCGTCACATCATCTGTAGTTAAATGAAGAAAGCTTTATGGAGCCGCATGGTATAGGTGTCTTCTCGTTTGCTGTGAATAGTACACACACATCTTATATGTTTTAAAATTATTTGTTAATTTTTACTTTTATATATCACATATTTATATTACACACTTATATGCAGAGCATATTAGAAATTTTGGTAATTACAATAGAGTAATCCTTACCGATTTCAAGAACTTTGAAATATGTTGTCAAGGTTATGGTTTCTAACAACTTTTTCCTATACATGTTACCACTGCTAGCTTCTAATTTAAGAGATATTCGCGAAAAACTTGCTACTACTACGTTGAATTTCATTTATATGTCCATGTTGTGTCAACTTGCGTGCGTGAGGCAGTGACCGGCGTTCATCTAATATTTCTGTTTCTGCATATACATATACGTCAAGGTAGCCTATCTAGCTAGCCTAGTCTATGCGTTTCGATTACCTGGGAAGGAAAAAGAAGAAAAAAAGGAAGATGATATTAGTGCGGTTAGGTCCATGAGGAGGCGGAAATTATGGTAGCAATGTTCCGCGTCTCGCATAAATTTTTATATGCACAAAATATATTTTCGTGAATATCTCGAAAACTAAAAGCGAATGACGGTAACATGTATGGAAAAGAGTTGTTAAGAAAGATGACCTTGACAACATATTTCAATGCCATTGAAATCGGTGACAATTACCGAAATTTTTGATAATGGGCAATGTTATGAATAATTAAGGGTGAATGAGTTGTTTGTTTCAATTCATGAAATTAGTTACTTTGTTTCTTTCTTTTGTCATTTGTGGGAATGGCGCTTGAATGTAATTAATTAAAAAAAATATGTTCTACATTATCATAATTTAAATCAATAATAATAATATAATTTCAATTTGCTCAAATTACTAATGTTTCATTATGTTCTTTTTATTTAGTGGCAGAACTTACGAATGAAGTATTAGCTCAATTACGTGAAAAGTTTTATGAAGACAGCCGCAATATATTAGCACAAAATATATGTACAAGATCACATCCTATAGAGGCTTGTATTTCACGAAAAGTTTTGGAGGAGTCACAACATGTCTTTACCCATAAGATTGAAACAGAAGGAAAACCTATTACAAATCAAAAGCGATCTGGAAGATGTTGGTTATTTGCAATTCTAAATGTTATAAGACCTATATTTATGAAGCAATATAATTTGGATGAGTTTGAATTTAGTCAATCATATCTATTTTTCTGGGATAAGGTTAATATTGTACTAGACTAATACTTTATGTATAAGATAAAAGTATTTTATTTATGGATATATCAATCATTTTATAGGTCGAGCGTTGCAATTATTTCTTACATAATGCTGTAAAAAGTGCTATGAGAAATGAACCAGTAGATGGTCGCTTAGTGTCATACTTATTACAAGATCTTTTATATGATGGAGGACAATGGGAAATGATTGTTAATATTGTAAATCGTCATGGTTTGGTTCCTAAAAGTTGCTTTCCTGAATCCTACAGTTGTGAATCTAGTTCTCAAATGAACAGTATCTTAAAAAGTAAATTGAGAGAATACTGTAAAGTTCTCAGGGATATGGTGTCTAATGGGGCATCAGACGAAAAATTAGAAGACAAGATTCGAGAACAAATGAGTGTATTGTATCGAATAATTGGTATCTGTTTAGGCATTCCGCCAGAAAAAATCACTTGGGAATATTATGATAAATCGAAGAATTATAACTGTATTGGACCGATTACACCATTGGAGTTTTATAACAAATTTGTAAAACCATATTATAATTTTGATGATAAAGTATGTTTAGTAACAGATCCAAGGTCATCTAATCCATATGGTAAACTTTATACAATAGATTACTTGGGAAATGTAGTAGGTGGAAAATCAACATTATACAATAATCAACCATATGAAGTATTAATGAAATTAGCCGCAGAAAGTATAAAACGAAATGAGCCTGTATGGTTTGGATGTGATATAAATAAACGTGTAATAAGCAAACAGGGTATTGTCGATATGAGATCACATGACTTAAAATTAATGTTTGGGACAGATACAGACAATCTTACTAAAGCAGATAGATTGATTTACGGAGATTCTATGATGATGCATGCAATGGTATTTACTGCAGTTTCAATTGACGTAAGTTTATAAAGGATCATATTGAATTTCTTTGGAAGTTTATGGTAGCCTTAATAGCTAAAATAATCTTTTATAAAATTATAACTAAAAATGTATTCACGTTTACTTTAGAAATTTTATATTACGTACACATAATTTGTATTTTTCAATATAAATTCTGAAAACGATATTGATGTACAAAATTAATTATAATCAGTCTTTTTCTTTTTCAGGAGAACGGCAAAATTAAAAAGTTTCGGGTAGAAAATTCTTGGGGAGACGACCATGGTCAAAAAGGATATGAATTACTAACGGCAGATTGGTTTTCTGAATTTGTTTTTGAAATAGTCATTGATAAAAAATTAGTACCTGCAGATGTTTTGGAAGTATTTAAACAGGAACCTATTATCTTACCTGCGTGGGATCCTATGGGTACTCTTGCCCGCTAATGAAGATCTAAACTTAAATATTTAAAAATTAGATCGGTTTCAGTTATTAATCGTAAAATAAACTTCTAAGCACATTCGTATAACGAAGAACAGCTTGTTCTTGACATTTTTTTAGTTAATTCATAATGATCAAGAAATGATTATCTATAATTTCCGTCT